CAGATAAAAATAGGACCCTGTGAATTTTTTTCCATGGAAAGAAATAGTACCTTGTGGTCCTGTAATTTTTCTATAGTAAAAATAGGTCATGCGAGTTTTTTTCTATAGGAAAAAATAACACCCTTTGGGTATGTGAATAGTTTTCTATAAGAAAATAATGGCGGTGTGATTTTTTTCTATAGAAAAAATAAGTTCCTTTTGTTCTGAGATTTTTTCTATCGAAAAAATTGGTCCATATGGTCCTCCTGTGTATTTTTTTAATTTAAAAAAGTTGATATGTTGGGCGCCACTTTTTTGATTTTTTTTTACAATATCCGACACCAAAAAAATTAGCGGCTCTGATGACAAGTTGTTTCAAGCATTTTGTTGCATAAATCCTAAAACATAGACCAAAATTACAATGTTAACTACAACAAAAAAAAGTGATAAAGAAAATTAGAGAGGGATAGAAAAAAAAACCTAATAGTGATGAATTCATAGAATTGAAAAAAAAATCCTACAATTTTGTTTGGAGACTGGCAGTGAATAATTTCTTATTGTTATATCACAAAATAAAATAAAAAACTATAGGCTATTATGTAGGAAAAAATTACCAATGGCTCTAAAACGGGAGTCAAACTAATTTTGCTGTTCAATTGAAGTCCATAATCGAGCTAATAACCGAAATAACCTGAAAGAAAACAAAAATTAACTATTAATATTACCCACATATATATACATATTTTATATTCTACTACTATATATACTAAAACTTAAATATATATCTATACATATATATATATTTACCTACTCTACTATACGATATCCTTGTTCAGAAAAAAAAAGAAAATATCCTTTCACCCTCAAACCTTTAACCCACCAAAAAATATATATAAATTTGTTGACCGTGTTACCTTGAACTCTTCTGCCTTATCTACATGTCATTACAACAAACTTTATGTTTTATTTTTTATTTCTCTACAAAAAAAAAAAGAAAATGTGTTCTCTAACCTAAAACTATATTTAAACAAAAACTAACATTTTTTTATATTTATAAGTGTTTTTTTTTCGGAAAACTCAAAAAAACAAAATTTTTTATATTTTTTGAAATTATTTTAGATACCATTGTTTTTTTTTTCAAATTAAATTTTTTTGAAGAAGTTACACACTAACAAACATGAAAGGAGAACTAAAGAAAAAAAATAAAAGAAATAATGTTATATATCATGTTTGTTAGTGTAATAAATTATTTTTATAAATAATTAATTTTAAAATTAATTCAAAGATTTTTTTTCGTATCGTAGCCTAGGCATTTTAAAAGAAAAAATTGTTTTTTTTATTACTTTTAATTTTTTTTAACAATTTTTGTTATTATTGTGTTTTCTTTCCCCATTTGTTAATCATTTTTGTAAATATTTATAAATTTTATGTTTTAGGTATTTTTTACAAATTCTCGTTTTTATAAAAAAAAAATATATGTATGAAATTATAATTGTGCTTCCTCCTCGATTCAATGTTAAACATTGGCTAAAGAAATTATTATAATTATTATTTTTTATTAAACTATTATTATCAAAGATAAATAAATAAACAATTTATGGAAAATATTAAAAACAAATGTGTGTTTTTTCTACAAAAAAAAACTTTTTACAGGACTATAAAAAATAGTCTGCATAAAATATCACATAATGGTAATTTTCTCTTTCCCCTGGAAAATGCTTTCTTTAGCTCCTTGAAAATACTTCTAAAAATGCGCCAAGGACCTTGAAAACACCTAAAACACATCGACCAATATTCTAAATTATCTCCAATTATGATTTCAGCCCTACAAAACTCCCTCGTCCACAAAACTTTCGAATATAGGACGGTAATATGGACACAATATCTAAACGGAATATGGACCGATATATCCGAAGAATACTTAAAAATTAATTAATCATTTTAATCAGACCACTTCATATGATTATCTAAGCACTTCATCTACCAAACACCCAATTATTTGCATAAATATGTATGTGTGTGTGCGTTTCGGCTACGACGATTTTTGGTCATTTCTCAAAATATGATTTTTGACAGGTTTTACGAAAATCAATACCAGGCGACCATAACTTATAAAAAGAGCCATGCTCAGAAATCATTTGCTTTGTTGTGAAACTCAACATCCATCACTGACAACGCCACCATACTCAAATGTATTTATTTCATAGGCGCCTGAAAGTATGCTTTGATTTTTAGTTATTAGTTTTTGTAAGCGAGGAGTTGTGTGAGAGAAGAAGGTAATATTTTTTGAAAATTAATTTTCTACTAGATTCTGTTCGCCTGGTTGTTAAAATATTCTTCGTAAGGTAACTTTTCAATTAGAAATTTTCGTATTTTCTCCACGAAACCCACACGCACACATATAAAAAAGCATACACATACATGAAACAGGCTCATGATGTATGTATGTAATTTAGGTATGGCTGTCTGGTACGCACGATAACAGTCCAAGGGAATAACCGATTTCATTCAAACTTTACACATCGTAATATCTCTTTCAAATTTAAATCAAGTTCGAAGATGGGACCCATCGGTCCACTCCTTGTGGTACATTCCATACAAAATGTTTTGAATGACCATATAAGGCGTGGATTTTTAAAGACTATTTTTTCCAGTGACTATATAAGGTGTGGATTTTTTAAAATATTTTTTCCATGACTTTACAAGGCGTGGATTTTTATGCCCTACACAACTATGTTGTCAGGGTATTATAGCTTTGTGCAGCCCCAAGAGTTTGTAACGCCGCGAAATATTGGTCCTAGACCCACCTTTAAGTATACCGTTCGTCATATCTCGACTAGCTGGGTCGATCTAGACATGTGTGTCCGTCCGTCCGTATGTTCATTATAATTTGTAAACACGATACAGGCCAGTTATGGACCAATTTTGCATGTAGGATGGATTCTGACCAATGAAGACCCCTATATTTTTTTTGGTAAAGATCGGTTAATATTTAGGAGATGAAATGGACCAAAAACTTTTTTTTGTCTGATTTTCTGGTCGTTACAGAGGCCGCAATTATGGCCCGAAACATGGAGAAGGGGATCCGGCCAAATAATAAGCATGCCTGTTCTGACAAAGATCGGTTAATATTTGGCGGGTCAAATGGACCCTGACTTTAGTGTGAAAAATTACAAAATTTGTATTCTATTCTATATTTACACCTGAAGAACATAGACCAGAAAAGTTGATAGTCCAAGAGGAGTGGTTGACCTTTAATTTGATAACAATTATATTGTCGTATGTAATCGGATGTGGGAGTTACACTTAAATATTTACAGGTGCTTACGTATTCAGATCTTATTTAGTAACCCATTATCACACTAGACGGCGGAAATATAGCGCTGATCCTTTCAGATTTTTTCCATGAGGATCCAGGTATGGTCAAGGACAACGCCTATAATTTTCGGTGATGATCAGGTAATAATAGTGGGATGGAGTGGACCGAAAACTTATTTTTTGTGTTTTTGAGTCGGTCTATAGGTTACAATTGAAAGCCGAACATCACAACACAACCCACGGTGAAAGGAATCTCGATAAGTAATTAGCAGGGCTGTAATGAATATTGGGAATATTCGGAAAATATATCAGTGTAAGGAAGAGGTGCTGTTGATCTCCATTTCAAAAGTAATTTAAACAATTTGAATACAGTTTTTGTTATCGTTTTATTAGAAGACTATAAGCGCTTTAGGGTTTGATTTTAAACTAATATTTTTAGAAGACTATCAGCCCTTAAGTTGTGGCTATTTAAGGGCCACATTTAGAGGAATATCAGCGCTTTAGACGTGGAATTTTAAGAAATATTTTTAAGAAAATCATCAGCTACATAGACGTGGATATTTAAAGAATATTTTATAGAGCCTTAGGCGTATATTACTTAAGAACATTTTTTAAAGTTCTAAAAAATCTACGACTGTGACACTGTCAGACCTCAAAAAATCCATGGCTATGGCTTGGCGACGTTATTTTTAAGAATATTTTACAGGGGACTCTTAACGCGAAAGACACGGGTTTTAAAAAATATTTATTTAGAGAAGTGCCCCATTCCATCCATTTCATAAGTAACTTCAAGAATTTGTATACAGTTTTTTTGTTATCGTTTTATTAGTAATCATATATAGGGGGGTTTTCTTTTTTAGTTTATATGTTTTGCAATAAATGATGATATATAATTACATTAATATTTAATTGTTTAATTGAAACTTGTTTCTTTTCTATCATTTAATTTGATTACTTATTTGACTTTACAAAATACAATCAATGTTGAATGTTTCAAAAATGGGATGGGTATAAAAATTAAGCAATTAAAACAATTATGTTAAAAGAAAAATCAAAAAGAAAAAGGAGAAGATAGAAAATATAATCAAACAAAAAAGAAATATATCAATACATTTTGTGTTGTGTTTTATATAAATTTTAATTTTAACATATAACATAAAATAAAGGAATTGTTTGATTTTCCACTTTTTTTTCTTTTTGTTATAAACAAATGGAAAAATTTACTTTTACAATTAAATTAAGTTTTTTTGTTGTTTAGCAATAATAAATGTTCAACATTTAGGCACATACTACAATATTGCTTGGTTATATATATTGTTTGTGTTGTTGTGGATTTTACTGTTCAATAATAGTTTATAACGCTCTCGTTCTCTCTCTATAACTCTTTTTCAATTCCCTAAGGAAACCAAAAAGACGAAAAAAATAAATCATACATACATGATAAATAAATGTTATACTTAAATTGAGAAAAAAATTTAACAAAAAATATTATTTATATAATTACATACTATAATTATAATCAAATTATTTAAAGTTGCTTTTAAATCGTTTTTTCTTGCTTTTACATTTCAATTAATTAATTAATTAGGAATCATTTTAAATGTGTGTATTGTTTTTTTGTTTTAATATAAATCTCATCAAACTTTTTTTTATTTTTCTCCGTTGTTGTTTTTTTATTGTTGTTGCCATTGTGATTTCGGAATTTATGCAGAAGTATTTCGTTTAGGCGATGAAGTCAAGACTTTTTCTTTGGCCTTTTCATGTTCGTCCTCGAAGATAATCTTGGTTATGACAATGTCGCCAGTACTCAATGTTTGTGATGCTGCGTCAATCATTTTTACTTGGCCTTTGTCCACGGCGTTGCGTATAATTTGGGAATTCTGATTGTTGGTTGTGGGCGTGGTGCTACGCTCGCCAACACAATTGCAATTTTTCATGCTAGAGAGAGGAAAGGGAAAAATTAATTAATGAATATTTTTCAAGGGCTATATAGTTGAAGATTTTTTAACAAATATTTTTCAGACACTATATAAGGCTACACAACACATATATAAGGCATGGACTATATATAAAAATATTTTATAGAATATTTTTTCAAGGCCCTTTAGGGGTTGTATTTGTCGTGGATTTTTAAAGAATATTTTTAGAAGACTATCAGCCCTATTAGGCGTGAATTTTTAAAGAATATTTTTTCAACTACCATCATGGATGTAGGCGTGAATTTTCAAAGAATAGTTTTTCAAGTACCATCATGGATGTATGCGTGGATTTTTAAAGAATATTTTTTCAAGTACCATCATAGATGTAGGCGTGGATTTTTAAAGAATATTTTTTCAAGTACCATCATCTACACAAGTGTCGATATTTTAGGAATGATTTTAGAGGACCATCAGCTACACAAGTGTCCATATTTTAGGAATGATTTTAGAGGACTATCAGAGCTTTTGGCGTGGATTAAGACATATTTTTAGAGGACTATCAGCGATTTAGGTGTTAATTTTTAAGACATATTTTAGAGGACTATCAGCACTGTAGAAGTGGAATTTTTAAGGGCCTTATTTAGAGGACCATCAGTGTTTTAGACGTAGATGTTTAAGGGATATATTTTAGAAGACCATCAGCTACGTAGACATGGATATTTAAAGAATATTTTATATAATACTATCAGAGTTTCAGGCGTGGATTCATTAAGAATATTTTTTAAAGGATTTTAAAGGATTAGGTCCTTAGGCGTGGATTTTTAAATAATATTGTTTCAAGGAAAATCAGAGTTTCAGGCGTGGATTTTTAAGGCATATTTTTTAGAGGACTATCAGAGCCTTAGGCGTGGATTTTTAAGGAATATTTTTTAGAGGACTATCAGAGACTTAGGCGTGGATTTTTAAGGCATATTTTTAGAGGACTATCAGAGCCTTAGGTGTGGATTTTTAAGGCATATTTTTTAGAGGACTATCAGAGCCTTTGGCGTGGATTTTTAAGGCATATTTTTTAGAGGACTATCAGAGCCTTAGGCGTGGGTTTTTAAGGCAATTTTTTTAGAGGACTATCAGAGCCTTAGGCGTGGATTTTTAAGGCATATTTTTTAAAGGACTATCAGAGCCTTAGGCGTGGATTTTTAAGGCATATTTTTTAGAGGACTATCAGAGCCTTAGGCGTGGATTTTTAAGGCATATTTTTTAGAGGACTATCAGAGCCTTAGGCGTGGATTTTTAAGGCATATTTTTTAGAGGACTATCAGAGCCTTAGGCGTGGATTTTTAAGGCATATTTTTTAGAGGACTATCAGAGCCTTAGGCGTGGATTTTTAAGGCATATTTTTTAGAGGACTATCAGAGCCTTAGGCGTGGATTTTTAAGGCATATTTTTTAGAGGACTATCAGAGCCTTAGGCGTGGATTTTTAAGGCATATTTTTTAGAGGACTATCAGAGCCTTAGGCGTGGATTTTTAAGGCATATTTTTTAGAGGACTATCAGAGCCTTAGGCGTGGATTTTTAAGGCATATTTTTTAGAGGACTATCAGAGCCTTAGGCGTGGATTTTTAAGGCATATTTTTTAGAGGACTATCAGAGCCTTAGGCGTGGATATTTTTTAGAGGACTATCAGAGCCTTAGGCGTGGATTTTTAAGGCATATTTTTTAGAGGACTATCAGAGCCTTAGGCGTGGATATTTTTTAGAGGACTATCAGAGCCTTAGGCGTGGATTTTTAAGGCATATTTTTTAGAGGACTATCAGAGCCTTAGGCGTGGATTTTTAAGGCATATTTTTTAGAGGACTATCAGAGCCTTAGGCGTGGATTTTTAAGGCATATTTTTTAGAGGACTATCAGAGCCTTAGGCGTGGATTTTTAAGGCATATTTATTCAAGGGCCATCATTAAGAATATTTAAGAAAAGAATATCAGAGAATTAGGCGTAGATTCTTTAAGAATATTTTTTAAGGACCTACTGAAGGCGTAGATTCTTTAAGAATATTTTTTATAAGACTATCAGAGTCTCAGACGTGAATTCTTTAAGAATGTATTTTAAAGGACTATCAGAGTCTCAGACGTGGATTCTTTAAGAATACGTTTAAACTGTCACTGTCGGCCCTCAAAAATTTAATGGCTGGGTTGTCAGTGTCATTTTTTAACGATATTTTGCAGGGGATTATCATCGCGAAAGGATTGGATTTAAACAAAAAAAAAAAAAATAAAATAAAATGTCTAAAAAATCTACGAATGGAACACAGTCTACCCTCCGAAAATTCATACAGTAACAGTCTTGTATTTTTTAAGAATATATTACAGGGGTCTATATCAACGCCAAAGGCATGGATTTTCAAGAATATTTTTAAGAACTTTCACAGCCTCAGGCGTATATGTTTTAGGTATATTTTTTGAAGGACTGTAAGGGCTTTAGAATGACATTTTTATGGAAATGTTTTGTAGGTCTATCACAACCATAGGCGCCAATATGTTAGAAATATTTATTCTATCACAACCACAGCCGCAGATGTTCATTATCAGCATAATCTGTCTATTCGTCTTCTTTGTTCTACAATCATACACTTATTTTTTTCCTCTTCTTATACTTACTTTTTCGTTTTTTCTCTGACAATCTGTAAATTATCAGTTGTCGCTATGGTCGTGCCCAATTGGTCATTGGAAGTTATGATCTGCAAAAGAAAAGAAAGTCCATATTAATATATAATCAATTACAAATTCTAATAGCGTACTCACCTGATCACTTGGCAACAGTGTCACAGCCGATAATATTGCTTCAAGTTTATCAATTTTGGCCACACGATCCATAGATTGATTTGCCAATATCTCATCCATCATTTGCATGGATTCTGTCAAGCTGGGTGGTTCCGAGCTGAAACGGGGCGAGAAAGTGCCAGTCAATGAGTTGTCCGATGGCACCGAATCCAAACTGGGGAAATTGTCGTTTTCATTGGTTTCCTGTTCATCTTCCGAGTCACTTTGATCTCTGTTAAGAGAGGGTAACAAAGACAAAAAGAAAATATTAATATGGAGCCAATAAAAATATATTGACTGCCTTACTTATTCTGTTGTCCAGACGATTCCATTTTTTCTAATTTCTTGGCAACCTTATAGTAACCCTTAACACGTTCCTTTTCATCTTCAGTCAAGTCCATATATCTGTGAAATTAAAAAAAAATAAAAATTATTAATATTCCTTGTTGTATCCCCTTGGTCCTGATATACAAACCTTAACAATCGAATTTCCCGATTGGACAACACAATACTCTTGGTTTTGGTTTGAGCTAATTTCTGTTTGAGATCGGATACTTCAGTGGATATTTTTCGTTGCTTCTTACGTATTTTCACTTCGTTTGGCTTGATATGCATGAGAATTTGTTCGGTACAAAGTTCAGAAAATAATTGCAGATTTTCTGGCTTTATTTGTCTGTGAGGAAGAAGAGTGAAAAATATTAAAATTTAAAATAAAGAAAATTGTAAGGTGTGGCCTTACCTTGTTAAATTTCCATAGAGCTGATCATTGATCAAAACTAAAACATCTCCGGCAGCATAGAGTAACATCTCGCGCGTCAATGGCCGTTTGGCCCAGTATTTCTGATCGCGTCTATAGATTTGTTTTAGTTGCTCCTTTATTGGATTTATCGGAGCATTATATTGTTCACACAGTGAATTCAACGATATGTATTTGGCTTTGTACACCTGTTTGCCGCTCTCCTGATATTGGACAATAGCATGGGCAGCCTGGAAGGAAAAGTAACAAAAATAAAAAAATTAAATATAAAAAAGGGTTGAAGAAATAAACATAACACAGAATATTTGAGATCTATGAGCCCTGATCAGGGCCATATACCCTAAATGACTCCCATAAAAACTTCTGGCTTCCATTTCTACGATGATTTTTTTTAAAGGCTCAAGTGTGAATTTTTTGAAGAATATTTTAAAATAACCTGTGGTCTCTATTTTCGAATATTTTTTTATATAAACATTGGAATCTTGGACGTGGATTTTTTAAAGAATATTTTTAGATGACCATCAGAGCCTTAGGCGTGAATTTTTTAAAGAATATTTTTAGATGACCATCAGAGCCTTGGGCGTAGATTTTTTAAAGAGCCATCAGAGCTTCAGACGTGGATTTTTAAAGAATATTTTTAGATGGCCATCAGAGCCTTAGTCGTGGATTTTTTAAAGAGCCATCAGAGCTTCAGACGTGGATTTTTGAAGAATATTTTTAAAGAGCCATAAGAGCTTCAGACTTGGATTATATTTTTAGAGGACTATCAGAGCCCAAGACGTGGATTTTTTATAAATATTTTTTAAAGGATTATCAGAGCCCAAGACGTGGATTTTTTAAGAATATTTTTTAAAGGACTATCAGAGCCCAAGACGTGGATTTTTTATAAATATTTTTTAAAGGACTTTCAGAGCCCAAGACGTGGATTTTTTAAGAATATTTTTTAAAGGAATATCAGAACCCAAGACGTGGATATGTTTAAGAATATTTTTCGAATGAATATCAGAGCATCATATACGCGTTTTTTACAAATATCTTTAGAGGACCATCAGAGCCTTAAGCGTGGATTTTTTAAAGAATATTTTTAGAGGGTCATCAGAGCCCTAGGCGTGGATTTTTTAAAGAATATTTCTAGAGGACCATCAGAGCCCTAGACGTGGATTTTTTAAAGAATAATTTTAGAAGACCATCAGAGCCCTAGGCGTGGATTTCTTAAAGAATATTTTTAGAGGACCATCAGAGCCTTAGGCGTGGATGTTTCAGAAATATTTTTAAAAGGACCATTGGGCTCTCAAGCGTGGATTCTTTAAAGTATAATTGAAAGACCATCAGAGCATCAGGCGTGAATTTTTAAATAATATTTTTTTTTGTAGGACCATCAGAGCCTTAGGCGTGGATGTTTCAGAAATATTTTTAAAAGGACCATTGGGCTCTCAAGCGTGGATTCTTTAAAGTATAATTGAAAGACCATCAGAGCATCAGGCGTGAATTTTTAAATAATATTTTTTTGTAGGACCATCAGAGCATCAGGCATGAATTTTTAAAGAATATTTTTTGTAGGACCGTCAGAGCATCAGGCGTGAATTTTTAAGGAATATATATATATATATATTTTTTTTTGTAGGACTTTCAAAGCTTCAGACGTTGAATTTTAAAGGACTATCAGAGCATCAGGCGTGAATTTTTAAAGAATATATATATATATATATATTTTTTTTGTAGGACCATCAGAGCCTCAGGCGTGGATTTTTTAAGAATATTTTTTATAGGACCATCAGAGCCTCAGACGTGAAATTTTAAAGTATTTTTTTGTAAGGCCATCACAGCCTCAGGCGTGGATTTTTAAGAATATTTTTTATGGGACCATCAGAGCCTCAGAGGTGAATTTTTAATGTATATTTTTGTAAGGCCATGGCAGCCTCAGGCGTAGATTTTTTAGAATATTTTTTATAAGGCCATCAGACGTGAATTTTTAAAGAATATTTTTATAGGACCATCAGACGTGGATTTCTGTCTTGAGAAGACCTGCATCATTTTTCCAACTCTTCCGGACCTTTATAAGCCATTTTAAACCTTAATAAGATCTTCCATCTCTCTTTTTCCATCACTCACCTGTGTATCGAAAACATTTCTCAGTAGAATACCAAATTGTAGATATAAATTAACAGCATCATTGCGACAATCATGGACCACCTTGATGACATTTTCATGCTCCAGCAAAGCTTTCAAACCACCATCATTAATCATTTCCGGGCAGGTGCGTACATCAAAAATGAATGCTTCACCACGTGTGGTGCCAATCTCAATGAGAGTTATCTCGCCTTTGATGCCCAAATTGATACCCTCACAATCCAGGGACACAACAATTGATTGATTTTGTTGGGCAAATTTGAGCATTGCCTCGGTTACAAATAGCGATTGTTTAATGTTCGCAATGACACTGGTATTTTGCAGAACTTTAATTTTCCAAGTATCACCGACAAAATAATTTTGACTAGGAGATGACGACGACGAATTGTTATACGAATTAATCGTAGAGTTATGACCCACCGATGAATTGTTGGCATTCGCATGATTGGGACTGTGATGTGGCGAATTCTGGGGATTATAACCAACAGAACCAGCCTGTTGATTGGCCATGGATTGTTTGTCTTTTTCATAGTTTTCGGCTAGGGTCCGTATGACCAGGTTGTTGATACGCTGCTTCAAAGTTTGATTGGCACTGTTAAGACGTTCTGCAGTTGGTAGGGGTGCCTGATGCGGTGGCAATGATATGGCAGGTGGTGTTGAGTGATTATTGACGGGTGCTGCACCCCCTACGGATGATTGTTGATTGGAGGTGGCGCCATATGATGAACAGTTGTTGGGTGCAGGATAATTACGTTCACATAGATTTTCCAATTTCATCTCCGATATTGGGATATAACTATCAAATCCTGAATTGGGTTCAGAACGAGTTTGTGACAAATCACCATTGGAACCAGATGTGGCCGAGGAGGCGTTGTGAGTGGTTACGGGAGCATTTAATTTAAAATTGGGTGATGCAATGCTGTTGTTGTTGTTGCTTGAATTGTTGATGCTGTTGTTGTTTTGTAATGAGTTATTGCCATTGTTGTTATTGTTGTTGTTGGTGCTGTGATTTAGACGTGGCGACAACAATCGCTGTTGCACTGCACTTATGGCGGGCTGCGATTGAGATGATTTATCCTGCTGCTGTTGGCCCGCATTACCATTGCGATTATTGTTCATAGCATTATATTGCTCCCGTGACTTGGCCTGTGACTGTTGTATATGAGAATCGCTTAGCTTAGGTTTTTGTAATAGAGTGACTAGATTTGCTTGAATGTGAAAACAATCGGAGAATAGTCGTAGGAAAGTCATCAAATCGCTAGGGGTTTTAAACATGCGCAACCATTGTTCCTGGGGGAAATTGGTGGTAACCAAATGGAATAATTGATCGACCATAATGGGTCCCTTCATCTCGATGCATTGAGCAAAGAAATCCAACATTTGTTGAGTGGCTCGAGTGTCGATATTTGTCTGGGGCAAATGTAGACGATCACGGGCCGGTAAATCGGTCATATCTTCACAGCCCACCAAGACCACATGATCATCGACCACACGAAATGTGTCGGGATGTTTGCAAAGAAATTCCGTAAACTCCTTAATGTGTTGACCTGCAATGGAAGTGGGAGAGAGGGGTGAGTGTGAATAATGGTTATTTGTCGAAATATTTCGCTGACACACTTACCTGATATATGTCGGACTTGTGGTGATGCCTGTGATCTATGGCCCAATAAACTGCGCACTGGCACCTCCACACCAATGCCATACTGTAGCAATTTATTTTTGAAATATTCTTTGGCCTCCTGTATGTAATCACGTCGACCGCCATAGCCGCCATCATCGGCATTGGAATGTTGGTAGCAGTTTACTTGAACATAATCACCATCGACCAGGAAAATGGAAGGATACTGAGCCAAAAATTTCTTAAGACCTGGAAAAAAAAAGAGAAAAGAAGATTGTTAGAAAAATATGAAACAAACACACACACACTAAGAAGTCAACAACATGAATGCAACAAATGTAGGTTTGGCAATGAGGTAAAAATGCAAGTGGCGCCCAATTTAAGCATGTTCAAAGGGGGGAGGCAAGAAGGAAGGCATATCCTTCAGTTGTGGTAGAGGATTCTTAGATGATGGAGTTTATAAAAAATGTATTCAATTTTGTTAAGAGCTTAACCATAAAAATAAGGAGTTAAGGAGGAGGTTCATATAACCACACTTTACGGCAAGGATATATAAAAGGAAAATATTGCCAAAGTAGAATGTGAACGTTGGCATCTTCATCTTTCTTGGTTTATATATTTATTAATATAGCAATGCAACGATGATATAATGCACTGGGAATAGAGAAACGTAATTTTGTCTGGCCATAGAAATTGAAATTTGTGTCACGTTTTCGGGTTTTTATAGTCCATATTTGTACCCTATTAGCAAATTAAACGACGAACGATGGAGGGCAGTGTTAAAACAATATTAAATTTGGAAGGTTAGATAGGGATGATAGTTAAAAATTTCGCCAATTTCCAGAGATATAAAGGCTAGTTTTTAGGCAAATATGTTTTCTAAAATTCTTTTTCTAATGCCCGTAAAGGCGTGGATTTTTTTTAAATATTTTTTCTAATGACTAGAATAAGATTTACTTCTTTTCCAGATCTCCTAGAGGTCATCGATTATTAGTATGCCAGTACAAGGTCCATTATTTCTTTTTCGCTAATATTCTGACGGGCTAGATAAATACGCAACTATTCAAACATCAATATTCAGTGATATTTATTCAATCACTAGCAATGGAAGTGACATCATCAGTTTGTATGAATGAATTGAATGGCATTCCAGAGAAGTGTTCCATAAAAGGTAAACTTACACAACAGAGGCGTAGTTTTGATTTACAATAAAAAAAAACAATTCGAAGATCTACATTTGAAAATATGAAAAATAAGGTGAGTCCCTGCCCGGTTCTCCTAGCTAAAACTAGATGTGAATGATGATATGAATATTCAGTCACAATAAAAAACAAAAAATCTGCAACCATCAACAGAAAAAATCCAACAGCCTGCCAGCAAATAATTATTGCAATGTAAACAACAATAACGAACATCAGTACCTCGAAAGAACCCCTCAACTATTCTGCACGTTGCATTTTCTCTGTTTGTTTATGTTCACTTCGGGATGACAATGCGAGCACAAAAAAAGAGAATACATAAATTCAAAATGACAAATTAATTCTTTCATTAGTGGCAATGCTTAGGTTGTGATTTTTATATAGAACCCACACAACCATCCATTTCCAGTCATGAGAGTATGGATTAAGGTTTATTAAAAAAGAAAAAAAAACGGAAAAATAATAATAGGCATCACGAGATATCCTTGTCAGTTTCCCCTTCTCACTTTTTTTCAGCAGCCACCACTATGTAAATAATGTCAAAGCAGGCGTTTTGCCAAAGGAGTGTGGTTGGGAACGGGAAATGCAGCGGAATATAGCTGCACAACATGCTCATGTCTATGGAAATAATGTTGATCCGCTGTGATGCGCAATGTTACATGGACTGAGATGTGACATTATAACTTATTTAATACTTAGTTACAAACATTATGCCCTTTGTCAGCCGGTACGGAACCGTCAAGCTTAATTATGCACTTCGACTGTCAGGTAACAAACAATGCAAAAAGAAGGTCTTTAAGATTCCAATTACCCTGGTATACTGCAAGAATATTTTTTTCAATGACTTTATCGGGAGCGGAATTTCAAAGGCGTGGATTTAAAAAAATCATGATTTTCTAAGGCTTGGATTTTTGCAGCCGCGAAATATCGGTATACCGATCGTCATATCCCGACTAGCTGAGCCGATCTAGACATGTGTGTCCGTCCGTCCGTCTGTCCATTATAATTTGTAAACACGATACAGGCCACAGTTATTGACCAATCTTCACGAGATTTTGAATGTAGGATGAGTTCTGCTCAATGAAGACCCCTCTATTGTTTTTGGTAATGATCGGTTGATGTTTAGGGGATGAAATGGACCAAATACTTATATGATGTCGGTTTTTCTGGTCGCTCCAGAGGCCGCAATTATGGTCCAAACATCGTGAATTTTTCCATGGAGAAGGGTATCGGGCCAAAGAGTGAGCATGCCATATCTCGACTAGCTGAGTCGATCTGGACATGTGTGTCCGCCTGTCTATAAAAATTTGTAAACACGATACAGGCCACAGTTATGGTCCAATCTTCACAAAATTTTGCATGTAGGATGAGTTCTGCTCAATGAAGACCCCTATGGGTTTTGGTAATGATCGGTTGATGTTTAGGGGATGAAATAGACCAAATACTTATTTTACAGGTGCTTACGTACAAAGATATTATTTAGTAATCCATTACCACACTAGAGGGTGGATATATAGCGCTGATCACTTTGAAATTTTCCATGAGGATCCAGGTATGGTAAAGGACAAATCCTATAACTTTCGTTGATTATTATATAATAATTTTGGGATAAATTGGACCAAAACATAAATTTTTGGTGTTTTTTTCGAGTCGGTCTATAGGCCATAATTGAAAGTCGAAGATCACAACACAAGGGTATTTATACTGTACTAATATCGCGATTTATTGCCCAAGCTCAGAGTATAGAACCACAGAGAGTTAGATTTTCGTGGAAGTTATTTAGGGTAACGGCCCCGTACGACTATACTGCTCCGCTCACTGGTTTTTAATCTACGCCCGGGGTTCCGTCTTAAAAAATCCGTTTTTAAAAAAGCTACGCCCTGGGCTCTGTATTGAAAAATCCTTTATAAAAAAACTACGACCTAGGCTCCGTCTTTAAAAATTTTTATTTTTTTTTTTTTTTAATTTACATCCTGGGCTCCGTATAAAAATTATTTACAAAAATCTACGACCAACGCTTCGTCTTCCGAATTTCTTTTACCAAGCAAGCCTTAGGATTCGTCTTGTTTAGAACATATTTTATTTGAATTTATGTATTGTTTTGACCCACTGTCTGCGAATGTAAATCTCGTGGTGGAAGGTGGTTTCGGTGGCATATTCCACCGCTCATACGTGAACCCTACAAATTGGTCTCAAAAAAATGTTAGTGAAGATATAAACAAACAGAAGCAGAAGACAAAGACCACGAAGAGGAAAGAAACTCAACGACAATAAATGCTGACATAATTTGATGTAAATACTGCTGACAGCGGATGAGTGTTGTTGCATGTTTGTCCCGTTTTATGGCGTTGTTGCCCGCCCCTGCACCTCACATACATGTTTGTCAACCAACAGTGACTGTGAGTGTTTATAGCTGTTCAATGAATTTTATAACAACAAAAAATGTTGTAGTTGTTGGAAATTAATTCAATTATGTATGCGATTACAACAACAACAAAACAAGACAATACAATGAATGGGTTGCTGGTGGGAACGAAGGCAAGGGTGGAGAAGATAGTTTAGGTGTTTGCGCGCTACGAATTTAATGGATATGGCATTTGTAATTATGAAAAAATATGTTTGACATTTTTTTTTTTTTTTGATTTGAAATAAAATTTTGGTTGACATGCTCCGTTTAGTTTTAATTCGAAAATAAATCTATTGTGATGTCTATTAAAAATAATCCTAGGCATCTTTAAGGAAATGGGAATAAATTACAATGGAATAATGACTATCAATATTGGGAAGCTATTAATTTTGAAATTATTTTAGAACCTTTCAGATCGGAGAACAAAGGAAATAAGTTGATTTTTAAAGTTTATTATATATACTATATTTGAGGCCGATTTAATTTGGACTTATAGAGGAGGATCTGTGGAGTTTATTTAAATGCCAGGTTGTTTGAGATCTACCTGTGTTCGCTAAATATGTCCATTGCAAATATCTTTTAAACAAATGTTCATTGCAAATTTCCGACTATTGCATAGAGACGTGACTAACCTAAACTGTAAACTGAAAAACAAATTGATTAGCCAACTCACACAACATATCCAAAAATGCCTTGTGGGGACTACTAATTTCTCTGTATGGTAATATAAAAAATATAGGTAACCTTCGGGATACCATATATAATAAATAAAATATTTTTACAAAAAAAGTAATTGAAAAACAATAAAATATTTTGGAATTCATTTATAGATTTTTCGTTGGAATAAGGCATTTAAAAGGCTCGCTATCTATGGACGTCTCCTTGATCTGTAAGAAAGTCTTTCAATCAATCGATAAAAAAAAGTTTCCCTAGATATAATTATGAAGAAACTATTCTGCCTACAGAAAGTCTCAGCATAGTCACAACAAAAGAAGGCCGTTATTATAATTTTTCTATAGAAAAAAATTCGCAGTCCCACAGGGTTCTATTTTTTAAAGAAAAATTCAGAGACTCTCGGTATTGATTTAACTTTTCTAAAGAAAAACCAGTAAGGAAAGTAGAAAAGTAGTAAATATTTATCTAAATGTGAATCTACCTAGATCTATCCATAAAGTATGTCAATCGACTTCAAACAAATATAAATAGGTCATCCGTTGGGCTATGTCTGCACTTCTAGAAAACGCAACTACGTAATTCTATGCTCAATTTTGAAAGTTATGCAAAATTTGATGTCAATCTGACTAACATGAGGAGTTTGATGCCCAATTTACTTGAAATCGAGCGAAAATATATATGTAAGCTCTATCCAAATATTGAGCGATTTCAAACTAACTTGTCACAGGTTAGGTTATACTAATTTCAGAACGTTTTGTTCCTATTGGTTCCTTAGTACGTCAATTACTTAAAATCAGCGTTCGAAAATAAACATTATGGTACCGTTCCATAGTGTTCTGTACCGTACCAAGGTGGATAGGTACACTAAAATAACGTACTGTACCGGTACACAAACACTAAAAATATTTTTAGCGTTACTGTTCCGGAGCACAACAAAAATCTTAGCGTACCTGCTGCGGTACACTAAA